ATGTCAACTCTTCTAAGAGTTTTGGCATGCAATAGTCGGCCAAGGCAATCCATATTGAAACAAAAAATGAAAAGATTATATTTCTATGAGAAAATTTTGCACTGAATGTGTATATCATACTTTGTCTCATCTAATGATTTAGATATTCAGATTAACGTGAAAAAGAAAGCATAAAAAACCACGTGGAACGTCTTTGTAAAAGCATAAATTTTAGATAGTAAAATTTCGTGTACTTATATTAACATAATAATCTTTGTTAATTATATCATACTTTAATTGCAATAAAGGTCGTTTATGTTCGCTTTTTTTTTTTTTTTTTTTTTTTTTTTTTAAAAAATGCTACATGTACATTGTTGTCTACATTAATTTTGACATCTTCCCACGTTACACCCATCATAACCTTTGATTTTCTTAACACCCTTTCACATACTGACCATGTTCTGACACAGTAAACAACAATGTATACATAGCATGTTTCTTCTACAATTATCTCCCGACTCTTTTTTACTTTTAGCTTATTTAATTAATTAGCACATCTTGCTTCTGATAACATTTTTATCCAAATATTCTTTTTTAGTGAAATCTATACTTTGTCAACAATTTGTATTTGTAATTTATCTTTACTTATTTAAAAATACAAGAAAAAATAAGTTATTCTTATTCCTTACTAATGTATTTTTTGATTGTCATAGAGACAATATTCCCTAATAAATTTAGGGAGCATTTGAGAATCATTTTTTTTATGTAAAAATGCATTTTAAAATAGTAACTTGATGGGAAGTGTGTAGTTGAAAAATAAGAAAAAGTTTTTAATCTACGTATAATATTATTTTAATAAAGAATGTGTAATTGAAAAGAAGAGAGAAAAATGTATTTTGAAAAAAATGGGTATCAAACAGGGGCTTAATGTAAATAGAATATTGAGGATAAAATACGATGAAAAAAGTTGAGAATGTAAATGTAAAGACGAGCAAAAGCTATGGACCTTAACGACAATTAAAATGTGTTGTAAATGACAAAAATTGTGGTGTTAATACAATTACTCTAAAAAATTTAAATTTATGCACTACAACAATGTTATCTATTTTGATAATTTACTTTGCTTTTTTCGAGAATTGTTATATATACATAGGACCACTTTTAAAGAGAAGGAAAAGAATCAACCTACTAATATTTTCGGCAATTTATTAATTTATAAACAATAGAAGAAAAGTGGTGAATAAGTGAATAGCACTTACGAATTCATTCCTAATGTGTGATTAAAAATGAAATTTGATCAAAAAATTAATAAATGTTGCCGAACGGAGACAAACCTATCATAACCAAAGCAGCAAAATGTTAGATTTTTAGTCGACATAAATTTTGTCTGTGTGCGCTCAAGTCAATTAATTGCGATAAGATCACTTGACAAAGGAAAATAATGACATCATAGGCAAGAAATTGGCAGTGAAAACAAAGAACCAGAGATGAACATTCATACTCTTGTGTATATATATACTTACATTAGTTACCTAGACAGATTCATACATGTGAAAGCAACTTTTAGTCCGTCTTATGCAAATTATGAAGTATGTACAAGGAAGCAGAGGACAGGAATATACACACAGAGTAGCCTAATAGATCCACACCAGTTGTTATGGTGACCATCTTGCTTCTTTCAAACATCTTTACCAGCAGGATCATGACGATAACGTGTCCCACTTTAGTCTTCAGTTCATCAAGTGAACTGATCTTCATCCACTTCGGCCTCTCCTACACGTGAATAGTTATAATCAAAGGTAAAAATGGAGTTCAACATGTACTCTGTGCGGCCTAAACATACTGTACACATTCCTCCTCGACTGAGATTGATATTCGTGTAATTGGTCTTGATTCATAATAGTATATAATGTAGTGCTGAGTAAGGGTGTCTGATCTCGAGGGGTCATATTCTCACAACACTAGAAGAAATAATGGCACGTCGAATGTTTATTAGCAAAAAGCATCATAAGTAGAATCTTATGAGAACTTATGGAAAAGGTAACCGCATCGCATGGAGAGGAAATTACCTTTAAAGCAAACATCCCGAACAAGGAAGATCCCTTGAGGGCACGATCAATAGTAGGCGGTACATCAGGAGGCACGTTTGAAATAAATAATCCATACAAGCCCATGCCAAATATTAACATGACAGTCCCAGCAAGGTATACATCTGAATCAATGAGAAACCGAACATTAATCAATCGATCAGAATTAACCGAAGAATTAAGTCGAAGGATAAAGAAATACAGGTGAGTCATGGATTAGTAGTTCAATCAATTTCTTTCAATGCGTGAACTTATCCTTCAAGTCTTGACAATTTAAGAAGCAATTGCATAAGGTTACCAAATTATTAGTTATTAATCTTGTAGTCTCGAAAGAGTAAGTAATTGCCTCGAGTAACTGAAAAAGGTCGACAACTTCAGTTTTACGAGGTTGAAACTTGAAATGGTCCGTAAGATATCAATTAAAGCAACATTTTTCATCAACTAAAATTTCGTGGACTCACCAATAGCTTCAACTAATCGTAGAACCATTTGTCCTGTGTGAATTCCTTTGACACAGCTCGACCAATATACCTTATACGCATCAAATATGTAAACGCATCCCTACAAATATCTAAATCCATTGGTAAGTCAAGAAACAAATGAATTGACACAGAAAACAGTGAAAAAACACATGCCAAGAAATATAAAATTCCTGAAAGTAAACCAAGTTTCTTCTGCTGATGCCATAATTGAAGTGCAACATGGATTTATTACACGTGTAATTAAAGCGGATGTTATGGTCCCATTTGTACAATTCAACTTTTTAATTTAATGGAAATAAAAAAGAAATGTTGTATCCCAGAACAAGAAGAGGTCCTTGTAATCTTATGTGACATGAAATTTAGTGATAAAAAGGATGCCCAACAGAGAACTTACATTGAGAAAGCAGAGCAAGGAACCGGCCAATGATCCACCAACAGCAAGAAGCGCCAAAAAGCGGAAGTCAAATATCGCCTGATCAGATGTACAAAAACATATTTCATTATCTAGACTACACTCTTTAAGAAAGTAAAAATGTAAAATCATATTAAGAAGTTTGTTATGATGAAAAGGCGTCTTAATGTAAACCAGAATACCCAGTATAGCTTTAACGACCAGCAAGAGAAGAAGCCAATAGGCCACCGATTATATAATTAGATGACGAGATTATTATATACTGTTAGTCAAGTCCTTAAAGCTCTTCCCCCTACAAAATTGAACTATGAAAGCTTCCCATTAGAAAGCTCCGTTTTACCTCCCCATACTAAAACTTCTCAGGTATGAAATTGAGATACATATTCTGTAAAACAATAAAGACTCGTCCTATCATAACCTACTAGAGTTAGTATTATAGATCACTGAAACACTGGTTAGATTTGAAGAACACTAATGAGTTTATATAACTGATAATGCTTAAACTTTGAAAGTAAGAAGTTACCAAGCTACTACGATGTCCCTGATGTCAATTTTGCTAATGAAGTAGAAGCATTGTCTCTCCTACTACGGAAAGAATAAAAAAGTGCCATTTTTAAGAGAAAATCGGCGTGTTAAGATGATGCCTATAACACGTGAGAAAAATCATAAGCTATGCTAATGGGGTCGATCATCCACAAACCAAGGTATATGACAATCATCAGAGGCACTATTAACAACTGTCTGAAGTAAGGGGTTTCACTCTTATTAGCCTCTAGAAAGCATGAATTTGGATTCTCTTTTTGAGTGAAGAATTAATTTTTCTGATAAAAGACGCAGATTTCTACGAATGAAAAAGAATTATTTTTCTCCAATCAAGAAACATACATGATACATCGGATTAAGAACATGTCTAACATTGAACACATCTCAATGAAGTTCCAATACATGCATATTTTCACACAAACCTCCAAATGATTTCAAAGATGGAAAGTATCAAGGGAATGGCAAAAATCAACCATATAAACAAAGTTTAGGTACCCTTTCAATGGAAGACTCAGTGGACTGAACAAACCGCACAACAGGGTTCCCATTCGGATTCGCCAACGCATAGTTGTAGGCCTTATCCGGGGGCTTAGAGGACTCGACAAACGATGACTTTATTGATGGCTTAGCTGATTTAAGGTTTTCATTTTGTGTGACTGATGATGATTCATGCGATGAAGAGGAAGAAGAGGGTAGAGAAGCCAGTGAAGGTGAAGATCTAGTTCTTGGAGAGTGTGAAGATATGCAGAGGCAGAGGGAGAGTGGGTTGGCTGAAAGTGAAGAAACCATGGCCGCCATTGAAGATTTTTTGAAGATAGTTTCACAAATGATCAATTTCTGAAAAATCTTTAGTGGTACTCGAAACTGATAATGATTTTTTGTGGACCGTATGTCCTCTCAAGATGCCTCAACCGAACTCTTCCAGTGATTACCTGGCTTTTCGTAAAGTTTAAATTATAATATATGTTGGTTAAAAATAAATTTTTATATTTAGCTGCCGTATGAGCTATATTACAATAAAATTAAGAAGGAAAAATATAACCGTTATGACTACATGTAAAAGATAAAAAGTCAAATATGATGATTTAATGTCATAAATAACGATCATATTTTTCATTTTAATGAATAAATAATTGGACTCGAACAGGACCTTATATATTGTAAATTTATTTATATCAAGTCGTTGAAAGAATAAAATTTTTGTTGTGGATCATAATTTGTATGATAGAAATGAAATTATGAAAAAACGTTTTTTTTTCTTATTTATACTGATTGTTTACGAAATTTTGAGTCATAATAAATAGATTTCTTTTCAAAAAGGCTATTTATTTGAGTTTTTCAATTCATCCTATTCATCTATTATCCATATATTTTATATATTTGATCAATTTAAATTAGAATTGAGCTTAATTCCTTGTCCAATCGAGTTTCGATTCCCGACAAAATTTCTTATCGAGAGTACTTAAACATATATATCCTACTTACTATAAAAGAGGCAGTATGCCAATTACTCTTCCTTCAGGACGTATTTTGAGTTTTCCTATTTTACCCTTTAATATCCCATTTCACTTTTGAAACGTGGTCTAATGATCTTCTCTGTTTATGCTTTTTTTCCATATTTTAAGTCCATTTTGGACTATTGCAGATCTGCCAGTCGGAATTATTGACTTCCCTATCTCACAAATGGAAACAATAATGATATTATTAACTTTCCTCTCACAAAGGAACCCACTAATGGTCAGAAAATCCATTTCTTTTGGTAAATAATCTATCTCTCCGCGCTACATGGAGAGATCAGTTGGCACTTTTTTTTTTCAGTACAATCACTTTTCGAACCATTATTTCCATTTTCTCACGCAACTTCAAATTCTTTCTTTCTTGTTTTTTTATTTAATTTTAATTTTTTTTACCTTAAAACAGTGAATATGTTTTTTAATGTTCATTTATGTCCGCTCATGTTCACATTAAACGGGTTATTTTGTGGAATTTGTTTTTTTGGAAGGTCATTTGATTTGCATTGGAAGAAAACCAACATGGAGACCACAATAAATGTTACTTACTACAACTTTGCATTGATACTATTTCAGCTTCTTATTTAGCTAATTTTCATCATTTATGAATGATTTATTATGTGATTTTAATGTTATGTCTCAGTCCTTTTGTTGAGAGTGGTTAAAGTGATCTTCATCTATTGCATTGTATTTTCTTAGCATTATGATCTATCGGGTAATATTTTTACTACTTTTTTTCCCAATAAACTTTCTTCCGTGTTCAATGGTTACATATTAATATTTTGGTACATAGCACAATTATGAATTGTCAAAAGTTTGTAAACTTTGAAAGATTAGTATCATCCCCATTGATTTCTTCCTTGGGAAAAAAATTGGTTAGCAAACACTTTTGAGTTGAATTTTACTAGAATATTATCCTTGTTAAATTTCACCAATGATTGTCAATTTCTATAAGATTTAGGTGAAAATTAAACGAATCCATTAATATTTGATACGTTAATATTACCTTAAAAATATTACAATTCGTGCATTGCACGGGCGTGAGAATGTGGGCACTATTCATTCAAAACGTATTTTATGTTTCCCTATTTTACTCTTGAATATCCCATAATATCTCACTTCACTCCTGAAATCACTACTAATGATCTTCCTACGTGTGTGTGGTGCTACTATTTGGCCTGATTTGAATTTTTAATTAAAAAAAAATAGTTGAAGTCATACCACATAATAAATTTTTTTTAAAAAAATGATGTAAATTATATTAAGAAAATTATTGTGAAAAAATAATAAACATTAATAAAATAATTAATTTTTTTAATAAAAAAACATAATAATTTTTTTTTAAAAAATGATGTAAATTATATTAAGAAAATTATTGTGAAAAAATAATAAACATTAATAAAATAATTAATTTTTTTAAGAAAAAAACGAGTTATACGTATTTTTTAACACACACGTTTAATGTACGTTTAATTATTTTCGATATTGATTTAGATCATTCGACATATCTATGATATAATTCTCGAAATGAGCTTTGAGTGAATATAGAAGATTTATGTATTTAACTATTATACAATCGTTGATGAATTTTTAAAGTTAGTTTGTTATCGAAATTCTAAATTTTTGAAATGATGTCTCTTTTGAAATAAAAAAAAATTAAAAGTTTATTAGGAAAATTTCTAAGTGATGTCAAAAATTTTATTAGATTATTTAAAAAATTAATTGATCGAGAGGAAAAAGGAACAATAAGTTCAAAAATCCTTAAAAATGATCGAATTTCTTTTATATATAAGTCTTTTTCAGATATTAAAATAATCAAGATGTAAAATTAATTGGCCTCAATTTTGTGTTGATATAATTAAAATGTATTTTCTGGGGATATGATAAATGTTCCCTTGATGCATGGATTAAAAACCCAAATTATTGGAACTCATAATTTATATATCAAACATTATTTTAGTCTGAGTGGTTATTTTACATATAAAGGACGTATTTGATGATAACTTATTCAATATAATTAAATCATGTAATTAATCGAATCTTTTTTTATTGTTCAATATCCAATCGATTTAATGAATTTTTTTATTTACGTGTAATATTATTTTATAGAAGATTCTGCGATTGAAAATAAAAGAGAGAAAAAAATTAATTAATTAATGGAGCCAAACACAAGCTGAGGCACAATATAATATTTTGTAACTTAAATGGGGTTGAGATTTTTATTTAATCACCCAATTTTGATATATTTGAATTTAATCCTCCAAAATTTATATACATCTAAAATATTCAATGTCGTCGACTAAATTAATCCATGTCTTTTCGACTGAGTATTAAAAATATTCAATATTGTGCTGCTGCTGTTTTGTCCAATTTGAATTTTTACGTCCAAAAAAAATAGTTGACGTCATACCACATAATATATTTTTTAAGAAAATGATGTAAATTGTATTGAGAAAATTGTTTTGAAAAATAATAAATATTATTAAAATAATTGATTTTTTTTTAAGAAAAACGAGTTATACGCATTTTTTAACACACACGTTTAATGTACGTTTAACTATTTTCAATATTCATTTAGATAATTCGATATGTCTATGATATAATTCTCAAAATGAATTTCAAGAGAATATAAAAAATTTATGCATTCGACTACCGTATAATCATCGACATATACTACAATAAAAGAGTGATTGTGGTGAGCACTATTCATTCAAGACGTATTTTGTGTTTTCCTATTTTATCCTTGAATATCTTATAGTATCTCACATTACTCCCGAAATCACCACTAATGGTCTTCCTACGCATGAGTGATGCTACTATTTTGTCTGATTTGAATTTTTACGTCAAAAAAAAAAGAATATATGATACCACATAATATTTTTCTAATAAAATGATATAAATTATATTGCGAAAATTGCCGCGAAAAAATAATAAGTATTAATAAAATAATTGATTTATTTTAAAGAAAAAGACAAGTTATACACATTTTTAATACATACATTTGATGTACGTTTAACTATTTTTTATATTTATTTAGATAATTCGATATGTCTATAATATAATTCTCAAAATAAGTTTCAAGAGAATATATAAGATTTATGCATTCGACTACTGTTTAATAAATTTTTAAAATTAGTTTATTAACGAAACTCTTAATTTTTTAAATGATGTCTCTTTTGCCATTAAAAAAAATTTAAAAGTTTATTACGAAATAGATTCGTATAAAAAAATATATCAAAGGAAAAAATTTTATTGCGGTATCTCCGTGCACCACGGAGCATAAATTTGCTCCTAGGTGCCAAGAGATTACAGAGCAAATGCCCCGTGCAACAATATATATGTTTTTTTAAATGATGTTACATGTCATTTTTGTTGTTTTTGTTTTTTTTCATTGGGTGATTTATACTTTTTGTGTCAATTTTTTTTCACTGGATGATTTATTTAGTGTCTTTATAAAAATCTATCATAAATTTTTTATATTCTCTTGAAACTCATTTCGAAATCTATATTATAGACGCATAGAATGATTTAAATGAATATCGAAAATAGTTAAACGTACATCAAACGTGTGTGTTAAAAAATGCGTATAACTCGTTTTTTCTTTAAAAAAAAATCAATTATTTTATAAAAAATGTTTATTATTTTGTCAAGATAATTTTCTCAGTATAATTTACATTATTTTCTTTAAAAAAAAATTATGTGTATGACATCAATTGTTTTTCTTTTGGACGTAAAAATTTCTAATAAAATTATTATCACTTTATAATTTATATGTGTTATAAGTTATTATACTATTTTTCCTACTTTTCTCCATTTCTTTACGCAACATATATAAAAAAATATATATACTTCTTTTCTTCATTCCTTTACGCAACAAGTAATCAAATTTGTAATTTTATTGAGAGAAATAAATAGATATTTTGACACGGTAATATTACCTAAAAAATGACATAGTATATGTATTGCACAGGTGGAAAACTAGTATATTAAACGAAGCAAAGGGTGTCTCGACTCGCTCCGAACCACATTTTCCTGACTTAGGCACTTGTTTGATTCCCACTATTTTCAAAATATAAATTTTTTTTTCAATCATACATTATTCAATAAAAATAATATTACACGTAAATTCAAAATTTTTCCTTATTTTTTACCACATATTCTTCGCCAATTGACTATTCTAAAATGTATTCTAAGGCCATGTTTGATTGGCAAATCTTTTCCATGATTTTTTCCCACTTTCAAGTGTTTGATATAATTTTTTTTGCCATAGAATTCAAGTTCCATGTTTTCTTGGATTTTGGACTTTTCTAGTTTTTTAAGGATATTGGTGGGAATTAATTTTCCTGATTACTACAGTATATATGTATTTTTTTTCTTCTTTTTTTTTTTGGCAAAATTAACAAATTCTAAGAATTATTGTAAAAAAAATATTTTCTTTTAATTAACAATTTTTATATTAATCAAAGCCAAACAAACACCAAAAGATAGTTAATTTTTTTGAATTTTTTTTGTTTTTAGCAATGAAAACAAATTTCATCCCCAATACTGTAAAATTTATCCCTTTAATTGAAAATTTTCATGTAAAATAAAGTCAAACGAATATAAAAACACTTTTATTTCAACATTTTTCACGTGAAAATTTATACCAATCAAACACAATAATTTACAATTATCAGGAAAATAATTTCCAGACAATTCAATTTTCTGGAATTAATTTTCGATTCAATTCAATTTCGCCAGATAATAAAAGACCCTACTCGCTAGAACCCAAATCAATTAGCCATGGGAATTTTATCTTGGTTCAGTAGAGGCAGCAATAATAACAAAAAGGAAAACTCTCCGGTTGAAAAATCCGATATGAAACCCCAACCCGTGTCCTCCGAGGTACCTGGAATGAACGGAGCGATGGAGGTCCGACGACCCGCTCTGTCCGCCGACCTATCGGTTTTCGAATTCGGGTCAGTCGCCACCTCTGCCGACAAGGTCGCAGTGACCGGGTACTGTCCCGTTTCGGACGAGCTAGAGCCCTGCCGTTGGGAGATCCTGCCAGCTATTGGCTCGGATGCACCCCAATTCCGCGTGGTCTTTTGAGTTTGTTGATTTGAGAGAAAAGTATGAGAGATATTGTTTTCGAGCATAACTGTTTTCCAATCCTTTGTAGAAATTGGCGAACTTTTTGGTTCGAAATTAATGTTAAACGTTAGTGGAGACTTGCATCAATATTGTCTTTTTTTTTTTTTTTTAATTGTTCGAGGCATTATGTATAATAGTATCTCTGAGTACTCCTGCTATAGAAGATAGTCGCGCATATAAATGTGTCATCTTGTGAAAGCAAACCCAAAAATGGAAGAAGGTGACCATTGTAGTCATGTGCTACAAATTGGGTCCCGACTCTAACTTTTCTTGTACATTTATGTTATTCATTTTATGGAAGCATTATATGAACTTGCTGGAAGTTGTTCATGTATGTACTTCTGCCTTAAAATTGCATATGGGTATTTGAAAGTGCGCGCTCTCTCTCTCTCTTTTATAGGGTTATTAATTTATTTGCACTCTATTAATTATCTCCAAATAAAATTAATCTTCATTACTTACAAGGATCTTATTGATGCTTGTGGCATAATTGAACTGCAAATGCTAGGAACATGTCTATAGTTCTGTACTTGAGCAGGCTCCTATTATTTGTTGGACTTGTGTGAGTGTTTTGCATGCCTATATAAATAGGATGTGTTAATCTGGTGTACAATTTAATTTTGAATACGAGTGATTGCCGTTGCCTCAAATTATTGGCTTTACATGTCAGAAATACGGGTGTTGAAGGGTCTGAATACAGTCATTGTCACGAGCGCTACATGTATTTGAGGTTAATTTTGGGCTTTGATGATTAAGAGCATATTTGGTGAACAATCGGACAGTACTAGATAGTATAGTAGACAAAAGTTGTAACTTTTTGTACCTTATTAACACGATCTATTATTGTAAATCCACTTTACCAACCATTCCATAGGGTAGCGATTTAAATTTGGGATGAGATGGATTTTGTATGAAGTGTGTTCATTAAGTTGCTTGTTGGACTGTATTCTCCAAAAAAAGTGGCAATGTGAATGATATACTCTGTTTTTCATGGGCCGATTCTATGAGTAGAAAAAAGCTTGAAAATACAATATTATGTAGCCATTATAAAGGCTTGTAATTGTGGTGATGGCTTTTATAGAGACATTTGCGATGATCGCATACTGGGAGAGAAGATTGTTACATGTGATTATGCTGATGTTGACATAATGTGAACCATCTTCTTGGTGATTATTATTATTTTTCTTTTCAGTAAGTAAATCTTTCCAATGTCCTAGTTCACAAACCATGCTAATACTTCCAAAAATAGTTTGTAGCTGCATCTATTATTTTAATAGCCTGATGGTGGCAATAACATGATCTAGTATAAAAAACAGGGTTCTGCATTTTACTCATATCACTTTCCTACTAATTTTTTTAGCCATTGGATACAATATCTCTTCATCTCTTACTTGTATCAGAATATCTTGTTTGGCTGTAGAAACTTAAATGGTTAAATATCGCTGTTATCAGTAGTTATTTAACAATCACACTGATCTGTTGGAATTTGTTATCATTTTCCATAGTTGATGGTGCTATTACATTGTCTTCAAAGTTATCATTGCCTTATATGTTCCACTCTTTTTGTAAGAATCTGAAGAAGAAAGGTTCTAATTTGGAAGCATTGAAAATTGAAGCCAATTTGATGTCGGCACTGCTATCTTTGCAGAAATCTCTGGAAGCTATACTAGGATGATTTATGTCTCCCATTCACTGATGAAAATTTGAGGTAACTACTTGGGATGGTCCTTGTGTGTTGGTGTATGGAGTAAGTGGTTTGCCTGCAGAAGCTAAGATCTGGTATGAGTTATCTAACTAGTTATGATTGGGGATTTTTATCTGTCTTCAGTCGGAAGATACAGAGTGGAGGGAGAGCAATTTTTTACAGCCATTCTGTTGTCATTGGTGTTAATCTACGGTCTGTATTTACAATGTTAAATTCGGAGAGGAAAGGAGGATATGCCAGGGACAAATCATGTTTTGTTCACAAAAGAAACAGGAAAAATTTAGAAATGACACATTGTTTTCCATTTATTATTTATTATTATTATTATTGTTTATTATTGTTGTTTTTTATTTATTTTTTGTGTGTTTTTCAACTATATTTGTAGGTAATGGAGGTAAAAAATGGATCTTGTGTATCAAGTTTCCTTACTCTGGAATCTCAATATGTTGGAACTAGGAGCCAATTTTTGCCCATATATATTGTGTTATGATTATACACACAATAGATCAATACAAGTGTTCCATATTATCATAGCAATTATTGTGAGCTCTTAAAAGTATAGATTTTAGGATTTTTTTTGACTTGGTAATGTCCTAATTAAAATATTAATTGAATTTTTATTGTTTGTTTCCTAGTAGAATATGATTTGTATTGTTCTATGTACTATAAGAGTGATTTAATGTTCCTACTTGGGATATTATGATTTGTTAACCGTATTCTATAAATAAGAGCCCCCTTGTATTTTCTTGATCCCAATCTGTAAGATAGTCATAGATTTTCTTGGGTGTGACTTGGGAATTCTTTTTAGTGTTGTTGGTATGAATTATGAATTTTTCTTGGGTGTGCCTGAGGGTTTTGTGAGAAAAATTTGTCTACTATCCTGATCTCTTGTTCTCTTTGCGAGTTGTTCAAAAAGTAAAAATTGTTGGGTGTGGTGAAACTTAGAATATTATTTTTCGTGGAATACTTCGGTATTTAGGGTGTGTGAGAGATTTTACATGGTTATATAAATTTTTCTTATAGTGAAATATCTCTATTTTTAATGGCTTGTGGTTTCTCTCCAATTAGGGAGTTTTCACGTCAATCTTGTGTTGTTATTTTTCTGCATCTCTATATTATTTCGAAAACAAGAATCCTGTAGGCAAATCAAGGATTTGGTATCAATTCCCAACAGAGTTTTGGGTGATTACTAATCTTTATTTCTTAGTGACCACATATCAACTGCAACATGGTCTTGGAGAGTAATGAAGAAATTTTGGGGGCTGGAAGGTTGTCAACCAATGAGGAACAATTATTCGAGGTGATCTAAGGTTTGGAAGCTTGGAGATTGATCAATCAGAATCGGCTTTCAAGAATCAATTGTTGGGGTATTAATGAGTTATTGAACTCTTATGTGGCTATTAAATAGAAATGCAACACGTAAAAAACTGGCAAAGATCTAGTCAATAAAATTGTTTTTGAAAATTGTTATATTTCCTAATTCCTGAGATACCACTTTGGAAACTTGTGTTCCGCAGACGAGTCACAAGTATCTCTATGGCATTATGGGTGATCTACAGTGGGGCTCCCACACTAGCTTTGAAATTCAAGATTTTGTAATAGATTTTTTAATATTTTACACGAGATTTTCAAAAAAATTCCTTATAATCTTCATTTTTCCTGCAATTAAAATTTTGTGAAATTTGCCAAAATGCTCTGCCACCAAATGGCATCAAAAATTTCAGGCCCGAATGACTTTTTTCTTGTTATCTTCATCTGCTTTGAGCTTGAATATGCTTCCATTCCTCATTTTCTAGGGTTACAACAAGAATATTGTTGCTTGGATATGCATTTTTCATGTGGTGACTATTGATGATATAGCAACAGATTTAACCGTGTCAACTTCATATTGATGTATATGTTAAGACTTGATGTTTCATATTAAAAGGTCAATCTTTATTAAGAGGAGTAGCCCAATTCTTTATAAATTGATATATATTTTCATCTTTATTCGATGTGAGATTTCATCCATTAACATAATCCCGCAAGATGGTTACTCGTTTGAACAGACCAATCTTAAAATCCGTATGTTCATTTATTGAGTTTTAATTGGATCGAATCGCTCATTGAAGTTTAATGGATTTTGATACCATGTTAATACCCCCCACTTGAGATTTCGGGTCTAATTCAAAAATTGAAAATTTAGGGGCTCATTTGAGGGTTAATTAACCTTTTAGGACTTTGTAGCAAACTTACCATAAATTCTAATTCCCACGTGTTTTTTGGTTGAATTCTTGGTCAAACACTTACATAGAAAATTCTTGATTTATACTTGATTGACCAAACATAAGGTGATATGTAGTGTGAATGCATGAATGTAGGAATGAGGGAGAGAGACTTGCTCATTTCACAAATTTTAAGGAACAATTTCCACCATCATGAATTTTTTCGTAATGACGCATGTCTAATCTTTTCCTATTTAAACTCCTTATTCACATTCACATGTTACTGCTTACTATTATATTTTTTAGTCTAAATAATATACACATATAAACATTCATAAGCCGATATGGAAATTGTAGAGGGATCAAGTCTCTATTACTCTTTCTATCAAATTTCACAATAAGTACGCTATCTACGTTGGATTATTATTATATTATGAATTCCAAGAGAAATTAATATGGGTCCCATATAGTATGATATAATTATGATTATGTTAAAGGGACCGGAGTTTAGTAACGCTACACATAAGAATTCTTACCACCTATGTTCGGTAAAATTCTTAAAGGGGACCTGAGTTTAGTAGCGCTACATATAAGAATTCTTACCACCTATGTTCGATAAAATTCTTATGTCTCCATTATATTGATTATGATTATTATGCTCCTTTAAGTAATACATAATAATAATTCATGGCATATTTATTGAGATTTTTATAAATCTCATTTTATGATAATTCTCCCTTTCAGGCAATTGATAGTTCGAGACAGTTAACGTGCAGATGACTATGAGGTGACAGCCTGAATCCTTGACTATTCGAGTGTCACTAAATAAAACTTAAATTATTTCATAAGACCTAAAACAATAACTCGAAATAATTTTTTCTTCAACAAGTAAATAAATTGTAGTCTTATTATGTAGATGCGAAAAATAAAGAAAATAATTCCAATATAACAACTGAATTAGAAATTTAAAGTCGTGTTTTTAAACACAAAATAATTTATTAAACCTAGCCCCATTGTTATCTCCACGTTGATTGTCTCGAACCATCAATTGCTTGAAAGAGAGAATTATCATAGAGTGAGATTTATAAAATCTCAATAAGTACGCCATGAATTATTATTGTGCATAACTTAAAGGAGTATAATAATCATAATCAACATAATGGACAAATTTTTTTTAC